GTTCTCTCACTAGATTGTATATATATATATATATATTATCATATAATTTTACAAATGCTAACAGTGATACAATCTCTTAAATATTAATAAGATAATTACGTACGCTACCATAATTAGATTATTTAGAGTTATCTTGCATCTTGGGATAAATTTTTAAAACCGTTATTTTATTTAATTAAAATAGTTAATTCGGTACTATTGTATTTAATGACTTTTATTTTAACTGAATTGTTTTCTTTTTAATTTATTTTATTGTAAGCTCAAGTCCTACTTAAAAATTAATGATCTGGTGCCTGGCTTCCTTTGTTTCTCGTTGATATATATACCACGGTGATTTTATTTGCAACGCCCCATTATGACCCCCTCTATGAAAAATAATTCCATACGGCTTGCGTGCGGTGTCCGATCCAGACCGTAAATCACCTGATTTACGGTCCGGATGTATTTCGGTGGGCCAACCTAAATTTTTTTAAAAAAAAAAACAGAAATAATCCTGATCGTAGATCACCGGATCGGACACCGTATGCAGAGATGTATGCGGTGTCCGTATGCAATAATTTCTCCTTAAAAAGGGATCTAGGTCTTAGGAGAGACTGTGAGGTGTACGTGAGAAGAGCATTGTGACTCCCAAGCGGTTTTGTTTCTCCCAATTTGGTGCTAGTAGAATCTCCAATTCAACGCTGAATCACATAAATTTTTATGTGTAATTGTTGTTGTGTGAATTTTTAAGCTTTCATATTATTTTTGCATAATAGGTGCCCCCAAAAAAAAAAAAAAAGAATTGTGTATAGCCACGTGCACCAGTCATGACAAGTTTTCCACGTAACCGGCCAGGTGGGACGACTAGCCATGTGGCATATGATTTTTATTTTAAAAAAAAAGTGTATAATTTTATTTGTTTCTACCTCATGCTTCTGATTAATGCATGCTTGTTGTTAATCACTCGTTGAACATATTATTATCTGGTAATAGATATACTATTATGGCTTCTTTACACAAAACTGTAGAAGTAAGATATACAGAATTATATATTTTGGGTTTATTTTGTTGATTTCCTTAATTAAATATGTGTATACATAATAATATATTTAATGTTGTGTTGTCGGAGAATACAAGTGTATGAGGGTCGGCCGGCTGTGACAGCCGGTCATATCTTTTTCCAGGATGTTCGGTCGCCGGATCATGACGTCCGGTCCTTTGGCTGCATTCCCCTAACCGACGTATGCATCGATCGACAATGATTTGGTAGATCGACTTATTATGCCAGTTGACCGCATTATAGAGAAGACCGACTGCTTCAGCTGATGCGCCCTCTATTCCTTCGTCCTAAACTTTAATTATCTTCCCTAGTTCTTACAATTCAATCCCTTCAAGATTTGTGGTGGCATTTTTTTGTGGTATGCGATCATATTATTCATTCACTTATAGCTTCAGCAGAAACTCATATGAGAATATGAGATAGTTTGTTTGCTCGAGCCATAGTACAAATGCTAAGATTTGTATGCTTCAATTTTTACATACCACTCAATTCCATTTCAATTTCAGCCTCTTCAGCTCTCCTAACATATATATATATATATATTACTATTAACATGTATAAGAATTGGGCCGTACGTATATAAATAGTATGGATTCCTATTTTATACTTATTTAAATACATGGAATGCTCCATATATGCATCCCGATCTCTCGGTGTGCTTGACTAAATATTATTATTTAAAAAAATATAATTTTTATTTAGAGAGATAATGAATGATTAAGAAAAAAATTGAGCGGTGTGCTCTAATTAAACTATATCAGGTACATTTTCGTAAAGTAAAATTCATATCCCAAGTCGCCGAGGTTGGCATAGCCACTAGCCAGTCGCTCACCGATCGGTCACGTGGACAGCCAGTCACGACGAGTGGCTGAAATAAGTAATTTAATTAAATAAAATAACTGTTTTAAAAATCTCTTCTTTGACCTGCAAACCATTTCTACTAAAGAATTATAAACATGATATACTATTTTTTTCGGAAAACGAGATACAAACAAATACTTTTACACACAGCAACAAAAGTTCTCTTTCCTTCCCTGGCTCTAATTGACATGTAAATTGTGGATTGAAGGCGCGGAGAACTGAAAAGTTGCTGCAGGATAAAACAAGAATCACTCGGACATGAAAATCTCCATTAAAATAGGAGATGAATTTGGTTCATCAACGCATCATGCCGCCTTGCACTGGCGGTGGCTGTACCATTCCAACACCCTGTATTCTATCCATGTTGCCTTGCCATCCTGCAAAAATCCCAAGCTTTTCTCAACACAGTTCTATCAATCGATTGTAACTTATTTACAGAGAAATATGGGAAGGAGAAGAGATAGATGAATGTACCCAAGGACATGTTGAATCCACGGTTCTGGAGCTCACGATAAGCTTGGCAGAGAGCACAGGCTTCGCAACAGCAGTGCACAAGACAATCATTGCAGGGGCTTTCTGGAAGCTCATACAGCGCGCGCAATTTCGACCGATAAACACACGAGTATAAGCACGGGCATCCCGTCACCAGCGCCACCAACGCGTACAACGCGCCGCCCGTTCCACACGCTTCAAATTATAAATCAAATAATAAAAATCAATCACTCGTTAAATCTTTCATAAAATTAGATTGATCGATCGATGGAGCTTAGCTGATGGCTTACATGTTGATCCGCGGTCCACTATCTCTGCAATCCGGCCGAAGGTGATGCAGGGACAAAAGAAAGTCAGGCAACCTGCCATTGAAATCAAACAAGTTTGATAAGTGAAGGAGATTGAAACATAGAACTAATGAATTTAGAAGATATGGAACATTATGTGCTTACAGTTGCCCCAATCGTCGGGGCAATCACAGAGGCCGGTGGACCATTGAGAAGGTGCTTGAGGTTGCAATCCGGGCATTGACGCCGGAGGAGCATTGGTCCGATAGCCGGCCGCCATGGGAGGAGTAGCGTTAGGCTTGTAATCTGCCATGGATTTGGGAATTGAGTCTACTTTAATATCTCTATATAAATTGTAGTGGGTGGGTGGTCTGTTGACTAGTGGTTCTATTGTCAAAGAGATAAGACGATTTGAGCGAGTCATGGGCTGATAGACTCAAATATATCACATAAATCGTGTGGGCCAAATGATGGAAACTGCGAAGCGTCTAGGAAGATGCCAGCTTAATTAAACATGAATGGTGAGCAGCTCAGATTTGTTGGAAGTTTTTTTTCTTAAAATAGTTTTGTTTATTTTTTTTGTTCAAGTAGAGTGATAAAAATAAAATTAATTTAATATAAAATTTTGATTTTATATTGTATGCCCGAAAAGCCTCAAAATCGAGTTCAATATATGAAGTTAGTTGGCCAAATCAGATCTACCAGAAGAGAAAAGCGAATAACTCTGACAAGAGATGAACTTTACCATGAAGATCAACTCCAGAGAAGATCAATTTTTCTAAAAGATTAACTCTGGAAGGAGATCAATCCGCCCAGGAGATTTATTTCCTATACTACAAGTTATCAGAATAATATTAATTAAAATGCCCATGTTAGACTAAGATAAAGAAGATAAATAAAAAAAATCTATTGAGACTCTGGTATAACAAATACTTTGTTGGTATCTGATAAATAAATCCCTATATAAATATAGTTGGTCAATGTAATAAGGAAACATTTCAAATGCTGCGGCGGGATGCAACTTACCCTTTACTAGTTTTCACTATTATATTTGTTAATTCTGCTTTTAGTATTATTAAATGGTTGTTTTGTGAATATATTTTTGTTGTGAGATATATACTTCCTGGCATAGAAATGAGACGAAAAAGAACACAAGCAAACACAGATCGTTTACGTGGTTCGATCCAACTGGATCTACGTTCACGGAAGGGAATAAATCAAATAGTTCGCTAAGGCAAAAGAAATGGAGAACACATAGCTTATACATAGAGATGAGCCCTCATCTTCCTTCTATGACCTCTCTCTCAAGCGACACCTTGATACAAAGCCTCAAGATGCTCTCCTCCTCTCTAGCTCTCTAGCTATTCTCTCCTCCTTTGTGGTAGCTTAAGAACTCTTCCCTTGCTCTCATAAGCCTCGCACCCTTAAGATTTCTTCCCTTTCTCTCATAAGTCTCACACCCTTAAGATTTCTTCCCTTGCCCTCCTAAGCCTCACACCCTCTCTATTTATAGAAGCGTAGGTGAGCGGTATGTGGGAGGTAGGTGAGCGGTAGGTGGGAGGTAGGTGAATTGTAGGTGAGATGTGGTAGGTGAGAGGTACCACATTGCGAAAGTACCATTTTACCTTAGTTCATTAATTTGGGGTCAAAATAACAATTCTACACCTTGACCCTCAATTGAGAAGTTTCGAGGTAAAGATTCCCCTCCACCTGACCCCTGAGGGGCCCTCAGCCCTTGCTTGAGTCTGCTAAGTCCAAACAGTACATGGACTTAGCAATCACGGTTCTTCCGATAAGAGAGTACAACCCTTTTTTCCTGACTCCTTGTATGACGACACGAGGGTCTTTGGTTA